CTAATTTTCGATGTGTATACACGAATTCGGGAGTTACCAAATAATACCCTGCATCCTAGTACAGAAATATTCCAAAACATACGAAGCCCTTCATTGCTTCCTTTTGCTAGGATATATCCCAATGGAGATACTGGCAATGCTTCAAAGGAATTCTCAGTCTACGTATCCTTTTATGGGTTTTCAATGTCAGGAATCATGGTCAGACCTAATTGTTAACAAGGTGGTGCTGACCTCAAATATAATTTGCTTCAAAACAATGGTTTGCTTTAAAACATTTTGTTTTTTATAAACAACAATATGACTTTTTCACTTTTACATCTAACCAAGCTTTACATCTAACCAAGCTTTGACCAACTGAAACCAGCAATCTCCTTTTCTGATTGCTATTCGGGGAGATAACTGTAGGGTTGTATTGGCGTATCAGTCAACAGTCTCACTAACCTGTATATATGTATACGGGTGGCGTTGTGTTGGATTTTGCTACAAGGAATCGAAGACTTCCGATACGTCTTCGATTACTCCATATACTATTTGTTCCATGTCTATACCTTCAGTCACTTCCTCAGTGGGAATTAATACTATTTAATGACGTCATTTTAGTCGAGACTTTCTGTAACTTATTGAGATGAGCATCAAGGACTGAAATGTGCTTCTCTCCGTGTTTTTTCTATAATTCTGGAGACTGTGACTGTTTTATAGGAGTTGAAAGCAGACATGGGTATGCTCTGTTTGTTTATCATTACTGCTTCAGCTCTAAAACAAAATCGATGTTTTGAAGCCTGTCCTGCATATTATCCTGAAAATCAGTGAAAATAACTGACTTCAACACTCTCCTTCAATATTTGTTATTTCAGCGCTGATGTTGTTTCCTTCTGATACTTTTCCTCTTATGAGTGTGTTGTTGGTATCGACTTTGTACAATGGACTTGCCTTTTGATGAAATATTTTCAATAACTCTCAATATCCTTAGTTATTTGCAAAATTTGCTAAACAAGTTTGGCAGCATTTCTCTGGTTTCTAAAGGTGCATATTATCAGGGATGATAGTTGATGACTTTTTTTTCGAGATGTCTCTCTCTTTCTCTTTGGTGACAAGCCGTTTTGATTTCTATCCGTACTATGTTGATGTGTTCTCAAAAAGGCTTCCTCAGATTACAATCGACAGTGAATCCATTGGCTTCATACGTTTTTTTTTCATTTTCCATTTCAAGAAAGCTTTCTGTTCAAATTACTGTTTTTATTTCTTCTACTGAATTTCAACTGAGGTTTTAATTCTCTTGCCCATGTGTCCAATTTATCTAGAGGTGCTTCATCAGTTCCGTCATTGTAGTTATTTCTTTGACTGACCTGGTAGAGCAGCGGTGTAACAAAACAATGTCCTCCCAGTGTAGATATATGTGTGAATTCGTCCGAAAAACGTAAACTGTTGATTATTTCTCATAACTTCAATTCCCATGTCGGTTCTAAGCTCCAAGAATCATTACAAACGTATGACTTTAATAACTAATCTAAGCAGAGAGACAGTAAAATCACATGCCTATCTGCTCAGATCAATTCATAAAGTCATAAGTTTGTTATGATTCTTGAAGCTTATGTTACAATGTTCTATTTTCATTTGACTACAGGGGCGATATGAAGGTGGACATGTTTGATGCTTGGTAGTATACCTGGTGGTTCCTTTGTTATACTCATTATTCTAGTAAGAGAACTCTTCTGGAAAAAACTTATTTTCCTTGTACATTTTTCTGGAGTATCTGTCTTAATCATTCTTTTTTTCAAAGTTTGTCCTCGTGACAGTGACTGCTTCCGTCTATAGGAATGTTGAGATCAAAGTCTTTTTGAAATAGCACTCCTATCTTTCCTTTTGATCACAGCCTGGAACTGATGGAATCGTCCCCGTAAAAAATACATAATAAATGTCATAACAAGGGCATAGCCATCGTAACATAAGGAGATGACATGTTATGAAATAATGTAACTAGTAATGGTTTTGACAAAAGGGGCGTAACTCATATATATCTTAAGCAAAAAAGTAACAATCGGCGCCCAGTTTTTACTTAAACTGAAAATACCCATTCGAAAATCGAGACGATACAGATTTATATAACCTAAAACAGTTGTTGTCCAGTTAGTCAGCAATATAGACTCATCCCAAAGGTGCAAATTAAAACAAACGTATTTTAATAATATTACGAAGATTTGCAGAGAAGTAAGACTTGCAATAGAAAAATACATGGATACCTGGACTATTCTGAACTATAAACATTTTCATATATAAATGTTCCCTTTTCATTGTTTTACAAAGTCATACATATACTGTTTATTTTTGTGGAATATTTGATTTGCACAATATGTCACGATCAATCGTCATGAACAGCGTTTGACTGATGTCAAAAATAAAACCAGATTTTATCGTTTCTGGACAAATATTTATTTAATATTTATGGACAAAGATATGTATCATATTTCCATGAAACTAAGTATTATTCTCCCGATTTGGTTTCTGACATTCATCGACCAATTTTGATTTTCCATTGTCTCCTCGTAGGTTTCACTAATTTAGGCCTTTGGTATCAATGACGAGTCCAGAAAGTACGAAACAGCTGTATAATGTAGCATCACTGACGAGTCCAGGAAGTACGAAACAGCTGTATGATGTAGCATCACTGACGAGTCCAGGAAGTACGAAACAATTTTATGATGCAGTTTAATCCATTATTTGAATCTTCTATACCTATTATAATTTCGTATGAAAAAGGTATAATTCACTTGTATGTCTTTTGTACGATCTATCTATATAAAATACAATGATGCATTGTTGCTACCTTATTGTAATAAATCGCTTATTGTAATAAGTATTACATTACATTAGCTATAATGGAGTAATTTTTAGCTTTATAATAAGGTTAGCCTAATTTCAACAGATGCAAATGGCTAATTTAACCAGAAATTTCTATTGTTATTGACACCAGATGTTTGGCTATTCTACATATTGGAAGCTTTATTACCGATTTACATTGGAAAATGCAGGACAGTGAATTTGGATATACATAAAAGTATCTTGGTGAAAGATTGCCCAATTTACTTTGCTTGCATGTCAAAGCTATTCGTGTACCTTCAAATATTAACGAAAACCACGAAAATTGAGCCTCATGAAAATACATAATTTTATAGTATTGCACTATTTAAATATGCCCGTATAACGGATTCAAATCTCGGCCATTACGATTTTAAATATAAAAGAGGCTTAGTATAATATTAACATCATGCTTCAATATAAACGTAACGTTTCTCTGCGATAAATATGAAATCCGCACAAAATAAATTTAAAACCAATGTGAAATATATCAACGTATTTCTCTGCCATCAGTAAGATAGCAAAACATACAGTAGAGAATGTCAACCCTGAGTTTACAATGACATATAACGTCAGATTATGCAAAGCATAAAACTGATACAGATATCTAATGAATACAAATAAATTGTCTTCTCCTGTTTAAAAATAAATCAATATTCAAAAATTCTGAAATAAAAGCAATTGGACATTCTGTAATATTTAAAAAGTTAATATTTTAAAAATAATACCGTCACATATCGTAACTAAGTGACACATGGTCCGTAAATATTCGGCCAATGATACAAGTAGTGTATATATATATATATATATATATATATATATATATATATATAGTTTACATATCATGAACAAGGTCAGAGACGTATAATAATTTAAATAGGTTAGCAATTTTCTACAAACAAAAGATAGAAACGGAAGCTGTATCCCAGCTTTTGCTTGTTGTTACAGAATCTTCATGTAAAAACTTCATTCTAAATCAAGGGAGTTAAATCAATTTATATGTCCCTGCTAAGGCAATTTGCATAGTATAACATCTTCATCTATAATCAGTACCTTTATGGACAAAATTTCAAGTGTAACAATTCATTTATATTGTAAAAAGTCGATGTTGGCTTCCAAACTGTTTATAAAACTTTCTTTATGATAAAAATGATCTAAACATTCTTTGTATAAAAAGAAATCCCAGCCGATATATGAAAAAACATACATACCAAATTAAAAGAAGTAAAATGAGATTGGTAAATAGTCAGACATGTACATGTGTAATACAATGGAATGGCTATATCACTTAAAAGCAGGTTTAAGTTTCTATGGCTACAGAAATGACAACTTATTTTTAAGATGTTCAATATGCGCTTCGGTTTAACTTGTTAAAAAATATCATAAACAGAAAAAACAAAAATCGGAGGAACAGAAAAAGGAAAAAAAGATATCAAAATCACACAAACATTTCATTAAAACTGTCGTATTAATTGAACTGGATCAAATGAAGACAAAAAATAGAGTGTGTGTGTTTCTGGAGAAGGGAGGGGGCGGCAAAATTTACAGGTACTAAAAAAGTATATTCTTTTTAAACGAGTACAAGGAGAATACAGCCTCGAAGGCCGGAGATGTAAGCGTCCATAGTTTCGTTGACGATTACCACAAAAAACAATTAAACGATTGTATCGTACTTAATCTCTGTTACAAAAGCATTAGGGACTAATTTTAACCAAGACAAATATACAAGACATTAAAATTTCTTACACAACGACTGGCTAAATCTCTCTTTAACAACGACACGTAGAATTGCTACGTCACTTTTGCACTGAAAATATTTTAAAGCTAAATCGCTTTCGTACAACGCGACAAGTATACGTCTTGCACTACAACTTTTCCAGTATGCGTGACTAAATCTCCCTTACATACCAACCAATACACTAGACATTATAATGTATATAAACACAACACACATCCCTCGATTCACACCCATCCATATCTTCAGTACAAACACACATTAAAATACCAAGTCTTGTCCATATCTTCAGTACAAACACACATTAAAATACCAAGTCTTCTCCACATCTTCAGTACAAACACACATTAAAATAACCGGTCTTCTCCATATCTTCAGTACAAACACACATTAAGATACCCAGTCTTTTTCATATAGGGTCAATGCCGATGATTTTTCGTAGTTGTTCAAATATGAAAAAGGCGATAGTTGTATGTGGTCCGATTCTCATCCAGTTCGGAATGAAGCCTTTGTACAGTCCCAATGGGCCTTCTGATCGTAGTGTCTTTAAGAAACAGTCAAATGCTGACTTGTACACTTTACCTGCAAAACAAACAGTTCTTTGGTGGATGAATGAATGGAATGTGGAATACGTAAAAGAGAAATATTTACATTATTTATTTCACAACAATGATGAAATGCCTCAATTAGCAACCTAATTAAATCACTCTTTTCAGTCTAGAAGGTACACGACATGGGTCAACATATAGAAGAAAACCCATAGTACAAAGAGAAACCCCACGTTATCAGACTTGTGACCTCGAACTTCTACAAGCACAGCGGATAATAGATTCCTAGATTGTTTTCGGAAAATATGAGCATCCACTGCGAAACTAAACTACCAGGTGCCTGTCAGCGTATATTACAACTTACTACCTTGTCGTAACAACCTTTAAAACGTTCGTTTAAACATCCTTCCTTGTCAGGAAAATTACGACCTACTTCCTCTTCAAGGAAACTTACAAACTGGTCGGTACAACCTAATAACTCGTCATGACACCAATCAGAACATTTAACTTGCTTGTAACTCACTTTTTACACATACATGTACCATACTTAAAAAGAGTAAAGACAAATATGTTTACTAAAAAATTAAAGCAGATTCGTCCTACTTTCAGCTAACTGATGACACTCTCATTTTAACCTCCATATTATCCTTACAAGGAGCACTGTTGAAATTGGATCAGACCTAACATAGCAGTGCAGTGTCCTTGCCCTATAATTTGTGACATTTAATATCTTAGTCGGCTTACGTTTCACTTAAAAACCACCTCTACCACACCGCAATCATATTATAATTCTGTAGGTCTAACTTTATCCAGTTCACATTACACATAACTCAGGTGTTGTAGCAGCAATATGAATAGCGTACACACTAGCGTCACATCATATGTATGTTTCCCTGATCGGAATTATAAATGTATGGCATACCTTACTTGACGTTGTTAAAAAATTATGCGATATGCGAAAATTACTAGCCAGTGCGCCTTCCCATCTAAATTTTGAATTTTTTTCGATCGCTTTGTAATTTCCTCAGCCGCTATTTATGCTTCAGGGTTTAGGCCCTTACATCAACGACGAGTCATAGAAGCTGTATGATGCAGTTTAATTCACTGTTTGACTCTGCTCTATGTTACTCTAAATTTGTATCAAATGGTGTTATTCCTTTGGGTCTTTAGTACAGTCTTCCAACTTTAATTACTGTTGTAATAAACGTATCCAGTAATCGAATATGAATGTAATTTATTCGCTTTCAGGTCCCAATTATTAGATCACCAACGAGACCTTGATGGACGAAACAGCTGTACAATTCAGTTTATTCGTTATTTGAATTATCATCTTTCCAAATTTGTTTTTGAAAACACTGTCGTCCTTTTTTAAGATATTAAAAAGGTTCTTGAAAAGGTGTAATTTATGTAGGTGATCCATTCAGCACGTGTTGGGACAGTCAGGTCATAAAAAACTTAACATGACTCTGAATATAAGTGACAGAAAAGATGGTCATCGGTACACACTTCACACAAATGTGTAAATCACACATTCAAAACAAGTGCAAAACATGGTTTGTGATTAATGAATTATTACGAAGCTACATTTGAATGAGAACAGATAAACTATGTATAATATCCTTAGAATTGTAGATTCAAATATAGGAGTACAAAAGTCAATTAATGACGTGTTATTTTTAAAATGTCGGCGTTGTTATGTAGTGTCGTACTTACTATCCTGTTTCTGGTTCATAATCCGCGTCTTCACAACGTCTACTGGTGACGTAGTTAATGCCGTCATGAAGCCCGCCACCATAGAAGCGGTCACGTGCAGTGGAGCGCCCTCTGTCATCAAGCCAGCGTTTAGTATGGTATGTTTTGTGTGGTCATATGTAGGAATCTATATCATGGAAACACACAGTGATCATAATTATTTCAAATAAAATGTATACATGGGATTCAAATTATCTATTATTGCAATGAAATAAACATCCTCCACCAAAACTAGCTCGGTTACCTAGAATGGGAACGACAACAGTGACGTCAGAGACACAAAATGTAATGACACAAAAGAACGGAAGAAATACTACAAAAAAATGAATTAACTACAGTGAACATAATTACACTTATACCATACAAATCAATAACCGCCGAAACAGAGCAGACACCAAAACCATACAAATCGGTAACAGCCGAAACTGAGCAGACACCAAAACCATACAAATCGATAACAGTCGAAACTGAGCGACACCAAAACCATACAAATCGGTAACAGCCGAAACTGAGCAGACACCAAAACCATACAAATCGGTAACAGTCGAAACTGAGCAGACACCAAAACCATATAAATCGGTTACAGCAGGAACTAAGCAGACACCAAAACCATACAAATCGGTAACAGCAGGAACTAAGCAGACACCAAAACCATACAAATCGGTAACAGCAGGAACTGAGCAGACACCAAAACCATACAAATCGATAACAGCCGAAACTGAGCAGACACCAAAACCATACAAAAAACAGCTGGAACTAAGCAGACACCAAAACCATACAAACCAATAACGGCTGGACCTGAGTAGACACCAAAACCATACAAAAAACAGAGCAGGAACTGAGCAGACACCAAAACCATACAAATCGGTAACAGCAGGAACTGAGCAGACACCAAAACCATACAAAAAACAGCTGGAACTAAGCAGACACCAAAACCATACAAATCAATAACAGCCGAAACTGAGCAGACATCAAAACCATACAAATCGATAACAGCAGGAACTGAGCAGACACTAAAACTATGCAAAAAAACAGCTGGACCTGTGCAGACACCAAAACCATACAAAAAACAGCTGGAACTGTGCAGACACCAAAACCATACAAACCAATAACAGCTGGAACTGTGCAGACACCAAAACCATACAAACCAATAACAGCTGGACCTGAGCAGACACCAAATTCATACAAGAACTCTAGCTGGAACAGAGCAGACACCAAAACTATACAAATAAATAACAGCCGGAAGTGGTCAGACACCACAGTCATACAAATACATAACAGCCGGAAGTGGTCAGACACCTAAACAATACAAAGAAATAACTAGAAATTGCCAGATGTCAATATCACCAGAACGAACAACTTTTTCCATTGAACACACGCCAATGAAAAAATAAACAACAGCAGAATCTAAGCAGACGCCAAAATAATGAATTAAGAATACATCAAAATCTAAAATATGTAATAAACACCAAAACAAAAATGTCTACTACATCGATTCAGCGAACAATAATAGGATTGTACAGAACCAAAACTTTCAGCATATCAGTGCATCAACAAATCATGAGTTAACTACACCATACAGTTGTTTTATAAATTTACATATTTAGACCCCTTCAGCAAGGATAGGGTCCTGATGTTTTAGAATGAGTTAACTACACCATACAGTTGTTTTATAAATTTACATATTTAGACCCCTTCAGCAAGGATAGGGTCCTGATGTTTTAGAATGAGTTAACTACACCATACAGTTGTTTTATAAATTTACATATTTAGACCCCTTCAGCAAGGATAGGGTCCTGATGTTTTAGAATGAGTTAACTACACCATACAGTTGTTTTATAAATTTACATATTTAGACCCCTTCAGCAAGGATAGGGTCCTGATGTTTTAGAATGAGTTAACTACACCATACAGTTGTTTTATAAATTTACATATTTAGACCCCTTCAGCAAGGATAGGGTCCTGATGTTTTAGAATGAGTTAACTACACCATACAGTTGTTTTATAAATTTACATATTTAGACCCCTTCAGCAAGGATAGGGTCCTGATGTTTTAGAATGAGTTAACTACACCATACAGTTGTTTTATAAATTTACATATCTAGGCCCCTTCAGCAAGGATAGGGTCCTGATGTTTTAGAATGTAGGGGCCAGCAATAATTGTTAAAATCAACAAATAAGATTTACAATATGGGGTTATTTTAAAAGCATATCAAGTTCATGTGTATATTATCCTGAACCGCGCCACTATTCATATAAATTAATGAAAGGAAATCTACAGGAACTGAGGAAGCACTAATAACGGAAGGAACTCCAACACAAAGGTAGGTATCAACACTAAAGGTAAATCATTACATCAGGAATTTGTGAATCCTTTCAATAATACAAGGCTATGAGTAAGTTCTATTTTGTGAGAAAAACGTCGTTCTGTTAACAGATATTTCGTGAATGTTCAACGGCAGTTTCTAAATTTATAAATATATACAATATTTGGATATTCTCAAACACTAAAACAACAGCTTTGGTTGTTGGATGTTAGAGAGGTTCCAAACTCACCTGTGTAGCGGTCAGTATAGCCGCTCTTTTGACCGTCGGTCCCACACCAACATACAGACCACGAATGCCGTTCTGACGTACAATTTCTGAGAAAGCTGAGAACGTACTACGGTACCTTGGCGTTTCTCCTACCAACTTGGTACATCCCTGCATTCGTACTTTGACCAGATCAGTTGGAACTGCAATGGAACTACCTATTGCTCCTGAAAACAGATGTCCAATAAGATTCCGAATGAATGAAGTCAAAGGCAGCTTTGTAACTAAGTAAAAGATTCACCTCAGAATGTTATTGTATTCACTACTTGAATTCACAAAGAAAACCAAAAGGGTTTTCTAGAGTATATCATCACGCTATACTTCAAAGAACATGAAGCTTAATAAATAACAATGTCTCTAAGCTATAGAATCACACAGTGTGCTTCGTAATGTGTATTTTCGTACATTTTATATCTTTAAAACACTTTGTATGAGAAGGAAGTTTTGAGAGATGACCTACCGGTGAGAGCACCTGCACATATCTTTTTCCATAATGGTGTATGAGCTGGGTCAGTGGCGCCAAACAGGACTTTTACAGGCTCGTATGCGCCCATACGAATTGTGCTATAACTTCCTTCTCTCATCAGTGAAGGAACAATTCTAGAACAGACGTGACATCATGTGATTTTATTTATATATCCCTATAACTTATAGTTTTTAATTACTATGACGTCATAATACCGTAAAGGGCTTTATATTTTAGTCTGGCATCAATCTGGATATCTGTCACTATGTAAAGATACAACTGCTTATCACAGCAAAGATAATTGTTAGAATATCTATCAATATTAAAACACACAATTGTTTATCTATTACAGCAAACATAACTGTTAATATTCCATCAGAATATCTATCACTATGTAAAGACGTCAGGTAAAGGTGAGCAAATGACCAATTGGAATGTATTTTAATTAAGTCGCAAAATTGTAGTTACAGCAACTAATTGTTCTACTCTCGCATCACCTGCTTTTACTACATTTTTGCAACGTAATCAAAACATATTCTGAGAAAAATCCAAAGTGATCGAAAAAATAATCAAAATCTAGTCTAGAAGTGCTATTTACTTGTGTGTCTTTGGTACAATCTTTGAGACACAGGAAGACGTAGGAGGTCGAATCGCCACAACCAACATATACCATGAGAGTTTACTACAGGATAATTACGTCACCTACCCCTTATACAGGCCCCTTATGCCTTCGTCGCTGACGATCCGTACACCGCCCTTTAGGAAACCGTCGTAATAACGGTTTTTCAGCACCTGGATTCCTTTCTGTGTTGCGAGCTCATTTTCCAGCTGCATACGTATCTTGATGACGTCAACAGGGTTCGTAACTGTAAAATACAAATCGGTGACATAGTTTTGTCTATGCTTTCACATTCATCAAACATTATTTAGAAATGATATCTGACTTAAGATGTTACAAAAGAGGATAACTCGGTTCCCGGTTTGGGTAGCCATGGTTTATCTATCCAATCTCGGCAGCATCCGTCATACAAATAGTATATCCAAGCGTGCAGGTGCGTATATTTTATACCCTTAAATTTCCAAAATAAGCGCTTATTTTGATTTTTCGTAAGGAATTCGAAACTCATTTTCGAAGACGGCCTATTTTCATGGTCGTCTTATTTGAAGCTATTTTTTACTGTAAGGCATGTACAGCTTATCTTCCAGGCCCTCATATTTCGAGACATCTTATAAACCGTCCAAGCGAAGTTTACTATATAGCCCTAAATATTCGCAATCATACTAACTACAGTCTTTTACATCACATCACGGTCTACGTCCGTCATTTATATACCTTAACGAAATATTTTTAAAATAATGGTATTCTTGAAGTGTATAGAAATATAGACATGTTTAACAATAAACTTTCTTGATAAAACATAACACAAAAAGAATGTTATATAACCAGGACAACAAAGAACATATCAACTTGTCAAACAGAATCATAATGCAAACTCAAATTCAATAAAACTAAGGCAAAAGTAAAAACAAACAAACAATAAACGATTTACACAGAGACCCCTGAAAAGTGCAAGGAGAACAAGACCAGTCGTTTCAGGTGAGTAAGCGTAAGATAAATGTGAGGTAAACATATCATCGAATGATTTCAAGTATGAACTATTGACAGTGGTCGGCACTCTCGAATGTTAAGGAACGAGCAACTTTGGCATGCAAGAAAGAATAACAATGAATAGACTGATCTCATAAGACAAGATTCAGTGGGTAAATTTATATCCTCTCCGACAATTTCCAAAGAGATTCAGAACACACCAAACATGTTCTCAATAAGAACTACATTTACCAATATGCCGAGCCCCCGTAATATTGTATTGGGGTGCCATAAATGTGTTAGAAGTTCTTATATCGCTTTGTAATTAAAAGACGTTTCAGTTAACATGTTTTACAGTGTACTTGGGTCATGATATATGTGATACGTCACTTTAACTTATAAGTATTATCTTGTTATAGAATTCACCTCACTGGTCGATAAATGGCTTTGGTCAAGCCGGTCAACCTCACAATCTACATGAACAGCATAGATCAGAAAGTAAGAAGTGTGGATTAGTAAGATGCCTTATATTTAAAGCTCCATCACAGTCTTATTATTGGTGGTAGTGTAACTGTTAACCATACCAACAGAAGTACGGTAGAAACACAGGACAACATACTGATCAGATATTTCACATCGAACAACTAGTCAAGGTCGACACGCCGATGTCAGCTGTTTATCCAACAACGTGCTATAAATAGAAACGTATTTTTCAGCTCTGCTGAACATGACAGTAAGTGAAAAAAAGCTACACACATGTATACTATATAAGTGTATGTGTGTGAACACGTTGACACCATCAATGTACATACTTGTAGCAGCACTCATGTTGGAGATGCCGGCCAGAGTAAACCTCCATATCTGTTCGTTCTCAATTCTCGCCATCGCTAGGTTATGATGCGAGAGATCCAAACAAGATGGCAGTCAATGTGAGATCACTCTGAAGTAGACCGACCCAAGACGACCTGAGGCAGTAGCCGTTAAATCCACCCATGCGTACCACTGCTGTGAGTTCAACCGTACGTCGATCTCCGTCTCCTCGAATAAGGGAGTAGATATAGGTGAATGTGGCAGTCTTATTAGCTGTTATTGTTTCTCTGTCATCTTAATTAAGTCACATAAGAAATCACATGAGACAACCTTGTAACAACTAGAAAAACATGCTGAAAGTCTTATCTGAAATGCATACATACACATCAAATTAATGGCAGAAAACATTACTACTAATCGTATTTGACCGACGGATTAAATCCCTTCTCTAAAATAAGCAAATGAAAATGGCTGGTCCAAACATTTCCTTCAGCAATTCAATTGCATGTTTCTAATATAATACTGATTCAGAAATGGAAACATGTTTTCCTGAGAAAAAAAATTAATATCCACTTAAAAAAGAGAACTTAATTTCAATGATTGTCAAATATATATAAATCTTTCAGAAGGGGTACTGTCCATGTTTTTTAGAAATTCTTGAAAATAGAACATTTACGAAATCTAGAAAGGCTGGGCCTCCGTTACGTAATTAACATTCATTTATTTTCTGTTTTGCTGTTCCGACGTTGGGTCATGATGTAATTAGGAATTAATCGAAATTTCGAAAACGTAACATCTTAAATATTTTAAATCAGACCATGTTTGTTTAATAGTTAAGTCTACAACTATAAAGTATACAAAACAACACTTCTCTAAAATAAGCAAATGGAAATGGCTGGTCAATGGCTTTAGCAATTCAATCGCAGTTTTCTAACGTAATCCTGATTCTGAAATGGACATATTTCTCCTGTGGAAGTAAATAAATAGCCCCTTAAATACGGACATCTGACTTCACTGGTTGTCATATACACATAAATCATTCAGGAGAGGTACAGTTCAAATTCTTTAGAAAATCCTAAAAAAATATAAACCACATTTAGGAAGTCTGGAAAGAAAGAACATCAATTTAGTAATTCAAATTCATTTACTGTCAGCTTTGTTTCCCCATAAATGTTATTAACACATTTTTTTGCTTAACAATTAAATTATCAAGTTTATGTTTTGATAATTGACTACATGCGCGGTACATAATAATGCTATTTTGGGGCAAAGGTTTTAAATCCAAATGCAGATATATCCCCAACGAGAATTCAGAAGGCTCAAGTAAATGTAGAGGTATTTTTCAACAATTGCCTGGTACATTGTGGCCTACCCAAGCGGATATACACCGTCCAATGTCAAAACTTTGGGGGTCACTGCATTCGAATGGAATCATAAGATTGCTGATAAGAAGGAGGAGTGTCCTTACAGAGTTATAGCACAATCCAGTCAGTATATACCGGTATATGATGTCAGAAGGGAGGATGAAGAAGACAGGACAAGGACATTACACAGCTTCCTACCAATGTCAATAAAACCGCCAACACCAGCTCCAAGGTGACAACAGCAGACGAGACGGAGCAACTCCGTCAACGATGAGAATAGTAACTCTGGATCCTCCTCATCTTTTTTGATGATGACACGATGATGGTTGTCACCAGGAAATCAGACCAAGGCACCTCGATTGACAACATTTTTCATTAGGAAATTAAAGTCGTGGAGTCGGAGGAAAGAGGGTATGACCTTTCGAAGGACACGGAGACGGTTGAGGAGGGGCGACATCTAAGTAATGAGCAGGCAGAGGTTGATTTGTCGGATGCCAACTCGAGTACTGTGGAACTCCGATGGACAATTAGACATCGTAAAAAGCTAGAGTGGTTGAGAAGTAGCTCATACTTTTACCCACAGCATCGGGGAGAACCGTAATGGATGTCCAGAGCTCATTTCTTAACCGAGTTGTCAAGCTCTGACTTGTTCACAAACAAGGGGTCAGTTTCACGCGTTTCTAATGTTGAATATCTACATTCATTTAAATAGTTTGAACTGTTTATCGTATTGTGGAAATGCTCTAATCAAATATGAGCTTGAGAAACTGTAATAAAGTAACTTTCATGTTTGTTTGAATTTCAGACAAGTCGTCAGAAATTGTCATAAAAATATTGATTGATTTTAAAGATTAACGGCTCTGTGCCAAACACCGTATGATTCCGCGTGTATTTGTCTTTTTGTGAAGTTTTGGTACAGATTATTTATCAATTGATGAATTGTTTAAAGTAATACCAATATTTGACAATTCGTAATGTAATTGAACCGTTAAATACGATTAGTAGTATATTTTGTGGTTATGTTTTATTGGTATTTCTGTAGGAGTTGTCTCCCTTACATCGTTAAAGTGATTGAATGATTATATGTGTATGTATTTTAGACCGGCGTGTAGAATGTTTTCCAATTTCTTACATGGTTGTCTCATGTGATTTCCAATGTGAAATTATAAAGATGACAGAGAAGTAAAAAAGCGGTTTTTGTTAAAAGACAAAACTGTACCACATAGATAAACTAGACAATTAATTATGTTGTAATGATAACAGTGGTACATTTCATCATGGTGTAGAAATCGACACTTCACAGAATGCAGTATATAAAATTTACATTTAGATAAAAAAAAAAAGCTTTTACAAACCTATAAAATAACATCTCGCATGTTCATCGGGTAAAATTAATGCACCATGGCATGTTTTGGAATAAGGTTTCGATGGAAGAGTGTTGAATGTCATCATTATTATTTGAAAAAATATTTATGACAATAATTATTTATATCATTCCTAATTACGGCAGGATTCTGATCACTACACAGCTAGTTCAGTCGTCTACACAACTTTCATTTTCAACCAAAATACAATGTCCACACAACATCAGTATTAGGCGTCTAGAAAACTTCCAATTTCAACCAAAAAAAACACCAAAATATCTTCAGCATTACACAACTACAAAACTTTCATTTTAACAGAGACGTATATAACACACTGTGTTATATACGTCTCTGAATTAAAAAAAAAAAAAAAAAAAAAAAAACCGTCTATATATAATGAAAAAAAACCTGGGTCACTTTAAAGGTAATAGATAAATAAGAAGTGTTATTAATTAACGAAGGCAAAAATTACGATTTGCATGCATTAATACCTGGAGACCAGATCACAATTCTGTACATCATGAATATCGTTTGCCTTTGGATTTAGAGCCTTTGCCCAAAAATAGCATTATCATGTGCCACGCATGTAGTTAGTTATTAAAACATTTCATTGATAAATCAATTGAGAAAAATGTGAATTAATAACATTTATGGGAAAAACAAAACAGAAAATAAATACATGTGAATTACTAAATTGAAGTCCATCCTTTCCAGATTTCATAAATGTTCTATTTTCAAGAATATGGACTGTTCCCCTTCTAAAGGATTTATATATAGGTGACAATCATTTAAATCATGTTTTTTTTAAGTGTCTGTTCAGTTATTTTCTCGGCAGGAAAATGTTTCCATTAATGAATCGGGATTATATCAGAAACATGCAATTTAACTGCTGAAGGAAACATTTGGACCAGCCATTTGTATTTGCTTATTTAGAGAAGTGGTGTTCTGTGTACTTTATAATTTTGTGGATTTAACTATCCAACAATTGTGATTTGGTTCATAATATGTAAGATGTAGTTTTATAGATACTTTTATGGTTGTAGACAAAAACAACTTGGCTTGCTATAGAATGTTAACATTTTAGATGTACAAAATATTTTAACGTTACACATCACATTCTTATCTCTGTTCATCTATATATGTATAATGCAATTTAACATTGTAGGTGTATGTTGTGCTTTTCCTACAGGTCAATTTAACTTTATTAATTTTTTTTTTTTTTTTTTTTGGAGGGGGTGTCCAAAAGAAGGAATCTGAAGCTTTACTGCCGAAGGAATCTGAAATTTTATGACACCTCTAGACGTGTATCTGTTAAGGAATTGTCACTTCAAGATGGCGGACGTGGGCGACCACAAAATGTAGGAGATCATTATAAAATAAAACTTCACTGGTTTATGGATACAATCTGACCGGGAGAAGTACCACGCGAAACTCAGAAATACTTGAGATTTGTATTACGCTCTTTGTATGGTGCCGGTGTGTTCAAAAGTAGTTGTAAATCCTTCTCAAAGTATTTTGCTCACATCAAAATACTTAAGCTGTCACAGGTTTATTTTCTATTGTCAGTGAGACACTCCAATAACACCGGTTTTAAGCAATATGTTATTTATGCTCATCGCCCTGTAATATTCACAAAAACAAAGGAAACCCATTTTGTTTACGTTACGGAATGGTCTTCAGATATATATAGCAATTTTGACAGAAAAAGTTACGGATTTGTTCCAAAAACAGACCCATGCCTGTTATGGATTGATCCAATAAAAGACTTCAATGCAGTTAAGAGTGAACTGAAATACTTTGATTAAAAAAAGATGTTATATCTTCCCTGTTGTGAATTTTCCATTTCTGGACAGCAACAACCTTATATCTTCAACAAATGGAGTTTCCATATCACAGTTGTTTCGATATTCAAGGGTCTGTTCCCGTTATCAATTATAAATTATCTGGTTCAAGCCATAATTGGAAATTTTTACAAGAAAAATTAAGTATATAAAAATATCGATGATCCCGAAGTTAGATATCGGCCTAGACAGTGAATAATCACACCTGAAAAGTACAAATGTACTGCTTTTCCCAAAGTTCCACAGTTTCCTCTTTAGGCGAAATGCTACGTCAGCTGCTGGTACGTCATCCAATGGAACATAGTTATAAAGAAACAAAGCCTCGTTATGGACTGCAAATGTCACATTGACATACAATCATATAAGGAATCAAACATCATCTACGTTATAGACACCTGTCACAGTCTTATCTTTTGAATTATGTACATTCTGTTTGTTTATTTTCGTGTTTAAAAAGTCTTTGACAGATGATGAATTAACTTTGTATCAAAGAAAGTTACGGTAACAATCGCATAACATCCGCAAATCACATGGCCAGTTATAAACCGGTCTCCCGTCCGACAGTATTGTCTCATATACGTATAAGTGTTGGAACGTGCATTTGTGTTCCCACCGACAAACGAGGCAAACGATTTCATAATATGTACATATATAATGCGAAGTCGTATGGTGGTGCTTGAGCAGACGCGTAAAGCGTATCATAATAGTAATGCCAACTGCTAAATATAATTATGAAATCGGCAAGTGATTCTGGAAGTTTTGACTCCGGTTCATCAAAGAAACGGGACTTCAGACTTAAATACATTTGTCTTTCAAAGCAATGACACTTCATATCCGTATACTGTAGTCTATAAGTCAAGATAGCACACTTCTATAATTGAATTTATTACGCAAGTGAGTTTTGACGTCCTGTGCTTAATTGTGGAGGAATTCTTCTGTCGCGGGATACTAAAGCGACACAGTAAACTCGTCTATTAACCGTAAATGGTACAGCGAAAAACTAACTCACAGTGAGCGGTATTCTGACTAACGTCTTACAATGATTTATATGGATTTTGTGTTTTAGCACGATTTATTGACGATGTGCTCTGCTCTTGTCATTGCTCATATTTTTTCGCCCAAGTGGACAATTCAAAGCAATGACCTTTTGTTGAAAAATCTTTATCAATTTACCTAAATTATGCATTGTTAACTCATATACATGTACATGTATGCTAATTGATAACATCACATGACGTTAGAATCAATTGCATAATTTTGTGTAGTTTGGTTTGGTCTGCATTAAAATTGGCTGATTTCGGTTAATAACTGTATTTTTGTTCCCTGAAATTAAACAAATTATAAACTCTCTAGTGTCATAGTTTGACGATAAAAAAATCCCGAACAAACGATTTGAAACCAAAATAAGTGTACTGAAGATGTAGCAGTCATTTATTGGACCAATCCAAACCGAGATGGATCTTTTTTTTTTAGATCAATCCGTAACTTTTTCTGTCAAAGTTGCCATATATTCCTGAGGACAAATCCTTAACGTAAACAAGACTGTTTTCCTGTGTTATTTTGTGAATATCATAGGGTGTTGAGCATAGATGCTATATCGCTTAACAGCGGATGTTACTAGAGTGTCTCCCTGACAATGAAAATAACATTTCAATATGAGTAAAATGTCACAGCAAATCCCGCTTCGATGACGAATGTTAACAGTTCGCTCAACTTTGCGAAGGGCTCACAATTATTTATGAACATAACGGAACCATACAAGTGGTGTAATACAATCTCGAATATTTCTGAGTTTAACGTGGTACTTGTCCCGGTCAGGTTGTATGCATAAATCAGTGAATTTCTAGCTTATATAGCACCTACATTTTGTGGTTGTCTACTTCCGCCATCTTGAAAAGACAATTCCTTAACGGCATACGACAGTGTTTTTGTTACTTTAGTTAGATTATCAAATATTTCGCCTACTAGAACTTATTAATTTTGATTTATATAAGATCGCTTGTTAAACTCCCCACGCTAGGTACATGTGTCGTCCTTTTCTGTTCTATCCAAGGGGCGCAACTACGTAAATCTTAAATCTTTCTAGCTTAAAAAGCTTGTCCGTTCCATCGCTTTCTGGATTAAGTTCAAGAAAAAAGTGCACTTATTCAGTGTGAACATGGTAGTTTATGAGAATTATTACCAAAGTCAGATATATACTTGTCTCTGCAAACGAAATCTGGTGCGACATTTTTTTTATTTATTTAAACCCGAAATTTAGCATGATTAGGAGGATGTAGTTAAGTTAGTAACATACGATTATAAATGATTTGTTGTAAGGAGAAAAAAATCCTTAAATTATCGATGGTATGAATTCAAATATGTAAAAAGTATTTTATATTATCCATTACACCATTTTAGATATTATGTTGGAGAAGATGAAGACAAGTTATGACAGTTACCCTTTGATCAATTTTGGGAAAGAAATATTTTAAACTACACCAAGTTGTGGCTCTATATGCCACCCATTCTTTGCCTTTTGAATTACATATTGGATGAAGCGTTTCATGTTTTTTTTTATGGGACTTGTTTATGATGCCTAGAAACCAATGGTCCTTGCAACTTTGAATTGTCTTTGGAAACGATGACGATGAAGACTATGTAGAAACTTTCTCTGACATGAGAAATCACATGTTTGATGGCAAGGTATGAAAGAATCAGAAGCGCATATCATAATGATAATTATCTTTGGGGATAGGGAAGAAATTGAGGGGCATGTTTAGCCTTTTTACTGACCTCCGAGTCCGTGATCCAAACCCGGCAACACCCGTAACCTCTCGCGCCGGGACATTTTATCAATAAAACTGAGTAAACATAACAGAAAATATTTTCTTAAGTGAAATATTGAAAGTCTTGAAATCAGATTAGTACATATAAATATAAATTTGAAGGTTAATAGTCTAATTACACCTCCATTACGAAGGATTTCCATAGGCAAACACAAATACATTATATCTAAACCTAGAATACATGTAGTATGCGAGAAAAGTCATTTTCCGTGCTGGACTAATTATATTCCGTTTGGCAATCAAATCCATGATAAATGTAGTTTGTATGTAGCCATTGTATTTGAATCAAAGTGTTACATACTCGCAACAAGGAAATCCGGTCTAATTTGTTTAAGTTTGAAATTTATTTGAGGATACAATTGAATCTTTGATCTTTTATGCGTTTGTTGGTCTAAATTTTTCTGAACACCGATACAGAATTCATGGATTTTATTTTAAAACAAGTTTTTGATGCGCTAAAATAGCATCTTAAATCCGGTTTCAATCTGTTGAAATCATTTGCATTTTTTTATATGCAAAAAAAACTACATAGCAAATAGTTCAATGAATGTTTACATTTATTTGAAATGATTAAATTGCATCCATAGCTATATATTCTAAACAACTTGTTCGTTCCTAAGCTGTTTACAAAAGTAATCTTTTCGAATTGGATTACCTGTTGTGATTGGGCTAATCTTATCAATTGTTGATATCTCAGACCCGCTTCTTATGATATCGAGTACCTTGATTGTGTCACGTGATTTTAATAGAATTATTGATACTTCGCTGTTCCACGTACCTCCCTATAAGTTGTCTGCTGTTTCATTGTGATGTCAATATCTGTTGCATAATACATCAACAATAAAAGTGTGCTTTGGAACACATGCGATGACTCGGTAACCAGTTGTATGTATCATCAGCCAACCGTATCGGGACTGTCTTTCCCTGACTTCACACTGTCAGGGAGGTTCGAGGAACAGCCTGTCAACCTATTGAAGTTCAGCGCAGCCATTTTTGAAGTGATCGGTACCGAATCAATGGCTTATACCAGCGGTGGATAGACAGACACGCTGGAATTCTACACAAGTCCACAGAATGGGTTCGTAAATGGAAAGTGATGTTAAAATGGAGTGACGTAAGGATATAGAAGTATATGGTGACAATAGATCTCGCTGTAATTGTCGGGGAAGATATAGCACCTGAGAACGTGCGGTAAACAGTAGGCCTCGTAAGGGGTTGTGTACAACACACACGGGTAGATTCCCTTCCCCGCTGTGTCTTTACTTATAGTGAAAATGGCTATTCTAACCAGAGGAATGGAGAAGTGTATGTGTGTTGTGTTGTGGTTCGTGGTTCAGATAATTCCTACATTGTGTTTTTTAGTTGTTATTCCTCGTGGTGCTGAAATTGGAAGTGAAGTGTTCAATGTGAGTCACGGACCGGGCTGGTCATACAGTGTAGACATTTACAGCACCAGCGCCCGGGCCCTCAGGTTTGTGACTTTAGATTCCAGCACGGGGGTTGTGTATCTCAGTAAACAAGTGCCATGTGAGGAGAGCCGTCCCTCATTATACCGGGTGTTAGCGAGGAAAAATATTCACCAAACACAAGGACAGGTGCCCGCTAATCATACCGTCACTACCCTGTTATTACAGGGACAACATTGCCAAACTCAAGTAGACCATAGGAAACAAAAACGGACGTATCACGGAGAAAAATATTTCATTGTGGTGTATGGTGATTTTTTAAATGAAAATGGTTGTTTGCAGCCAGATCAAAATATTTTAGACATCCATAATAACATTCCACTATCATTCCAATCATGCAATAATTTTGTTACCAATATTGATACTCCAGAAGTGATACACAACAGGAAAACAGATTCAATAATCACTGATAAACAAGTATGTTTATACAGTCATAAATGGTCCTTCAATTTTAATCTCATAATGTATTGTAATGACATGGCGACAGACATGCAGGTGAATGTTCAGATTCACAACATAAAAAATGTCCAAAATATTCCATTCATGTATGAAGTAAGACAGCCCTCTAATCATATACGTTTAAAACGTGCTATCGCAGTAAATAATCCCCCTGAATTCGAGAAAGATCTGTATACCAAAAGTGTCTTAGAGGAACAGAATCCTGGCTTGCATGTGATCACCATCACAGCCACAGATCCAGACACTGGAAATGATGGACTACTGACCTACAGTTTGGAAGCCACCAGCGACCAGAGAAGCAAAGAAATGTTTGCTATTCACCCTATCATGGGACGTGTCAACACAACCAAACGTTTAGACAGAGAAGAAATCAGCATCCATTACCTACAAGTTATAGCAACAGACAATGGTTCCCCTGCCAGACAAGCTCAAACGTTTCTAACTGTTGAAGTGAGTGATGTGAACGATCATGCTCCAATGTTTGAGAAAAGCGTTTTTTATCAGGATGTGAAAGAAAGTATAGGTATTTCCACAACAATCATGTCTGTTAGAGCTACAGATAAAGACGCAGGTGACAACAAGGAGATACGTTACAGGATCATGAACCCATCAGGACCTGCTGGTCAAACGTTTATGATTGACCCCATATCTGGAAGTATAACTACGAAGACCGAACTGGATAGAGAGAAAGTGGCCACCTATCAGCTGCTGGTTCAGGCTATGGATCAAGGAGAAGCGTCTATGAGGAAATCCTCTACCGCTACCATCAACATCAATATACAGGATACCAATGATAACAGTCCACAGTTTTCTCAGAAGCTCTATATTGTAAATATACCAGAAAGTCATGATTATACCACCTCCCCAGTCATTGCCTATGTGTCTGCAACCGATCTTGACCAAGGTGACAACAAAGTCATTACCTACAGCATCTTTGGCGGAAACACTGACAACACATTTAAGATAGACAGAAGTACAGGTGAGCTCTCAATTCAATCAGCATTGGATAGAGAAAGGAAAGATGAATATTCTCTATTAATTCGAGCTCAGGATGGAGGCTCACCAATGAGGTCAAATACTACAACGGTCAAGGTGACAGTTCTAGATGTAAATGACAATGACCCATATTTCTTTTCAGCCCCCTATCATCATTCGGTAAAAGAAGATGTTCCCGTGAATCAAACTGTGTTACCTGTCCAAGCAACAGATAAAGATATTGGACTGAATGGTGAACTAGTTTATTCTATATTGGCCACACCAGAAGGTTTTCCATTCAAAATTGATGAAAAGACCGGTGATGTAAAGGTAAAATTACCATTAGATAGAGAAACTGGAGATTTGTATAACTTTGTTGTCAAAGTCCAAGATAAAGGTACCAAAGTGAGATCTGCAACAACAGATGTGCAAATAACAGTAAGTGACGTCAACGACAATCACCCAATATTTCCTCACAGTGTGTACAATTTGACTGTCCGTGAAGATGAAGACCCTGGTGTTAAGGTCATTTTGAGCTTGACAGCTATGGATGCCGACAGCGGTGAGAATGCTTTGGTGGATTACTCGATATTTTCTGGAAACCAAGATGATGCTTTTAGAATAAGCTCTCTTAATGGTGAAGGGTTGCTTAAAGTTAACAAACCTCTTAACTACAAGCAAGTATCTCGATATGTCCTTGTTGTCCGTGCAACAGACAAAGGAGGAAAGTATGATCAAGCTGAGGTTCATATTCTTGTGCTGGACACAAATCGTCACACACCTGTGTTCCAAGGAACTCCCTACACTGTTAATGTTGAAGAGAATACTGCCATTGACACATTTGTATACCAAGTAATGGCATTGGATGAAGACGTTGGAGAGAATGCTCGATTGTCGTATGAACTACATGGATCAATCTCATTTTATATAAACTCCAATACTGGTGAAATTTTCACAAGGGTTGTCTTAGACAGAGAGAAAAAGGCTTCTGAAGCCTTTTACGTCACTGCTCAAGATCATGGTGTTCCCCCCAAAACTGCAACTACTGATGTGAATGTCATTATTACAGACGTAAATGACAACTCGCCAGAGTTTGATAAAAAATCGTATGTCGCAAATGTCTTAGAAAATGCTCAAGTTGGATTTCGAGTTGTACAAATAAACGCCACAGATAGAGATGAACAGAACTTTGCACTTATTTCTTACACATTTCAGGGAGGAAATGATGGAGATGGTGATTTTGAAATTGATTCCTCATCAGGGACAATTCGTGTGGCTCAGTCGTTAGATAGAGAAACTATAAGTTCATATGAACTGAAGGCTTTTGCCGTAGACAAAGGTATTCCAGCTCGGTCCACCTCCACCATCATCACGATACATGTACAGGACATCAATGATAATCGACCAGTTTTTCCCAGTAAAACCATAGAAATCAAAGTGATGGAGAATATCCCGCTGTATTCCGTTGTTGCTCAGGTATCAGCTGTTGATCCCGATGAGGGGGACAATGCTGTTGTGGATTACGAAAAAGTCGGAGGTGGTGATGCAGACAGTTTTCAGCTGGAGCACCGTACTGGTGGACCAGCAATTCTCAAAAATTTGATACATCTTGATTATGAAGAAACTAAAAAAGTGTACCAAGTTTTGATTCGAGCAAAGTCTGACCCATTCTTTAGTGAAGCTCTTGTCCTAATCATGGTTCAAGATGTAAATGATAATGAGCCCATTCTAAAGGATTTTACGATCATTTTCAACAATTTTGAGGACAATTTTATCACAGGAGCAATAGGACGTGTACCAGCCACAGATCCAGATGAAATTGACCGAAATAAACTCACTTATGAGTTTGTTGCTGGAAATGAAGCTGACTTCCTTCATCTGAACCAGACCACAGGGCAGATAACTCTAAATTACAGACTTAACTCAGATGTTCCAAGGAATGGCACCTTTCAAGTTAAAGTTTCAGGTGAGTTATTTTTATGACTATAAAAGATGATATATATTTTTTTTTATTTCATATGAGATTTATGAATCTAGTTTCACAAATGTGATAATGTTAAAATCTTATATAAAATGAAAACAAATTTAAGATACTTATTATCACATAGCTCCATGAAGTTTTTAACAGGTCCATTTTGATGGACAACAAATTTGTGACTGAAAAAACACTCCGTAGGATCAAGTGACATATTTGAAAATAGTTAAATTTGTGAATTCACTAGATAACAGGCATGTTGTGTGTTGAATTAGAATAGGAATTAGTGTTCACAATAAACATGTCTATTTTAATGCAGGAAGATTTTTAAAGGTTATTTTGTGAAGAATACTTGGCAAATCACATAGGAATTGAAAAAAACAGGTGTTAATATATTATTGAAAATCTTTAAAGACAATTTTTCTCCTTTGCAATTACAATATGCATTTTGAATACTATTCTCACTTAACTTATGCTGAGTTTTGTATAATTTTGAGAGGAAACAAGCAAGACTGAAATCTTTGATTTTCAACTTTGTTTTGATTAATATTGATTTTATAATTAATGTATTATGATGAGGTATTCAAGGATAAAAAAAGAAAGAAAAAGCATTAGATTTTTCTCTTTGGCTGAGATAAAACTAATTTACTGACAGGTGGAGGAGAATGATAACAAACAACATACATATGTTGACATATGTAGCCTTTTGTTTATAGATCCCTGGGGCTGTTGTTAGAAATTCACACATTTGTTGAAAGGCAGAGGACAATGGAACTAGAACTTGCCACTGACAGCAGATTTTGATGTGCTGTCAACAGGTTTCAAAATTTAATTGATAATGATATGGTAACATAAAAGTGTCAAATTGAATTAGACAGCACATTGCATCATATGTGACACAACCATTCTGCGCCTGTAGGCAAACCAATCAGTTGGTGCCACAACAGCACTAAAGAGAAATTGGAATTTGCCACTGATATTTATTTTTGATATACCAAAGTTTTTTATTTGTTATTCAATTTCCTTGCAAAATAAATAAATTGTTTGTTTAATATTAATAACTGTAACTAAAATCCCTGAGCATGCATCATTACATCTGATTATTGATGCACATGTTATATATATATATATATGTATGATTTCTCTTGTTGGTATCACATTTTGCTATAAAAAAGGGAAACACAATCTGAAGCTAGAACTATTTAAATGTATTCAAACTGAAATGAAAATTTGAATGTTTGATTATGGTTAAGTAATTTATGAGCAGAAGAAAAATGTGTGACATGTGTTTGACCTGTGATTGAAATATATATATCTTGATCAATTGTATAATTGAACATGAATATGTGTATGCATAGTTCTGATAAATATCAGGTCATGTAAAGCTAACAGGTATAAACATAGGATTAATGACAGGATGATGTGAGATAATGTAGATGGATAGCTGACCTGGGGCAATAGCAAACTTCAACATCCCATCACTTCCTGTGGAAGTGTGAATCTCAATTCTACATACAAGCACCTGCAGCATCCTGCTAATGACTGTAAGATATGTGGACTTACAGGAGTTTTAATTAGATTACGAGTAATCAAGAATTGTTTTAACACAATAAATTTGAGATTTCAGTCTATAGATCTATAGTTTCTGTTTATGGGGTTATCAAGAGGGGTGTTGTCATGTACTGGGTGGTCAGAGGGTGCAGTGGTAACACACTTGCTGTTCACCTTGATGTCTGGGATTTGATTCCTATTTTGAATGTGAAAAGGTACGGGATCACGTGTCTGACCTTACAGGTTTTCTCCCTAAGTAAGACCCCTTGAACGCTGACATCTAGGCCAACAAGAGTGATTAATATAAGCCTGTATTTATAGATGTTGATACTACACATATATTACTTAATGATGATAAATAAAAATAACAGTATTCAAAGATATGAGGAAATATTTTCTGTACTCAAAACTTCCTTCAAAAGATGATATGATATAGCTGCGTCAGGGTATTAAGTTTACAATTAAATGATTCAGTAAAATGGAGGACTACTGTGTTTATAGATTGATTATTATTTTGTATATGTTTTATTTTAACTGTTTTAAATAGTACTTTAAACAGTCCTATATCCTTTCTTTGCATACCCTGGTGTAAGAATTTTAGTCATTGTTGCATAATTACCAGAAATTTTACATGATATTAAGATAAAATATTTATTTATGTTGATCAAGGACAAGTTAATAGTAATTGTCATATTTGAGTTATTTTAATTAACAACACCATGAAATAAAACAGGATATGTTTTGTTGTAGAATTGAATATTTAAATCTAAACACATGCACTTCTCTTCAGAAAACATCTTGATGCAGCAAGTTCTGAATGTATCAGCTGTTGGTAGTCAGTATATCATACTGTATGTTTAGATATAGCATGTATGATGAAAGAACTACAAAAACAGTCTTATGTGTTTTAACATGAAACAGTCGATAGCATTTAAGTGAATCTCTAGCTTGCTGGTTAGTACAGTGGAAAGTAGAAAAATAACGTGCCAAGTCTGTTTAGAAAGTGTTTTTACAGAATATTTATTTATAAGCCCAATGTGTAAAGACAGGTAATGCAGCTGATGCGTTTTAGTTCATTTTTAGTCTACATCTTAACAGTAGAGCTGGTTGGTTGGTTTTCAGGTGCTATGCCCACTTAAACACCTTGGGTGGGTGGGGGGGAGGTGGGGGGGAGGGTTGAGGGAGAGGGTAAATGCTGTATATAATAAGCATCTAAACAGACATCTTTGTATGACCTTACCCTGTTTGGAAGATACCTACTTAGTCACTATAATACTTCTTCATATGGTTGCCTGAGAAGTTTTGTCAAATATTTAGATTGAAGTATATATTCTGTTAAGCCTGTCATAATAAAATTTTCACTAATCCCCAGATATATTTTTAATGAATGGATGTTTTGTGATACATATATTTGCGATGTAAACAGAGCTGCAGGAGACATGTACATGTGTTGGTACAGGTATACTCCATACCTGTCTATAAATATTCATGTCAAACTGCAACATTTCCTTCGTAAATATTTTTGAAGTAAAAAATTTTAAAACTCCAGTCAAAGGCATGTATGTGGTACAGTATGATATATATGCAAATAACCTGTATATTTTGTTGTAAGCCTGTGTATTTGAAACCTATCTGAATGTAATTCTATCATTTAATTCTACCCCTGGTATGCTGTATATATGAATTTCCTTATGACTGGTATTCTAATACACTACCAGACAGAAATACGATCACATTCCCCGTTAAAGTTACAGTCCGAACAAAGATAGTGACACCACAGTTTTTTTACTTGCTTTTGTGTAAGTTTACCTGTATACCAAATTCAACAATTAGACCTTATACCATATTCCACAATGAGACCTTATATAATTCTCGTTTTTATTAGTAAAATCAACATTTCAGTATAATTGGTGTACAGGTGACTGGCTCCGACATTATTAGAATAAAAATCTATATTATGAAAACCTTTCTAAACAAAATCTGACTTTTTCATGAACAGATAATATGTTTTCAGAAAGACATTGTGCCATAGACTTAAGGCATTCTTCAGTCAATGCAAAGGAAGCAAGGGTTGTTTGTTTACTTAGACTCTGACGGTTAATTTTCTGAGTATGATTAATCAAATGAACTCACTAGCCCGTATTTTTATAGGAAGGTTAAAAGATTAATCAATATAATTTGACTTTCCAGAAACATTTTGTTGTGCCAAACCAGCACCAACAAGTGCATATGCCCTTGAAGTGTAAAATACTTTATTTAAAAAAAGAAAAATCTATCAGTTATATTCTAAGGAAGGCACCTGCTCTGCTTCAGGGATATAACTGTAATATTTCAGACTTTTTCTGTTCCAATCATTTAAAGATTATTGTTTCCGAGAACACCTGATCCAGCTAGCTTGCCTGCCTTGTTTCGGTTCTAATTAGTCACTACTTCTTTTACCAAATGATGATTATTATCGGAATTCTATTTTCAATATATTTTTGATACTACTTTGGGCTGTTGTAGTTATAGAGGCTCTGATTGCTCAGTCAGTATTGGAGCATTGGTCTTCGGAATCTCTGATGAAGAATCATGATGTCATGTTTATCCCGCTCTATCTGTGATGGTTTGACTGTTTCTGAGAAACAGGGTGATCAGCTGTCTTAATGGTGTTCTTCGGCAAGTCACTTTACCCTTTATGCACTGGATTGTTTGTAACAAGCCTCCTGTATTTTGTTTTTGAGGTAGCCACTACAAGGAAACCCCACATTAAAATGACTTTAATTGTTCACAAGGCAATACCATATTTTCCAGATTATAAGCCACAATTGTCTTTCTCCATGGACTGGCTTATAGACCAGTGCAGCTTGTATGTGTGGATGAAAAAAAAATTGTTAGAATGAAAAAGAAACCACTTAACAGCATCATTAATTGAATTAGGAATTTTCAGATAGGTCTATACAAAGAGACTTGATATCACTGCATGCAGTTAATTATGTATAGGGCTGAAAATGAAGGTTGGATTTTAAAGTTTCATGTTGAAGGTGAAACATGCGGTTTTGATGGTTTTTTTAGTAAACAGTTCCTTTACCCCCCTTTTTTTGAATGCAGGAATGAAAGAACTTTGGGCAAATGCATTGGTTTCCCTTTTTTTCAAGGGAAGACATGGATGCCACACCAGATGGGCATCCAGGATAACTATAAATATAGGGGTGGGGGAAAAACGACAGGTAGAAATTTTTTTAATTATATGCATACAAACTGCTAGGGGTGACAAAGATATTAGATAGTTTAAGGTATGGTTTTATCTTTCCTTGCATTAACCTTTGACTATAGATATAGAAATGATAATTATATTATAGTCTCAAGGAATTTCTTCCCTTAAGGCTCCATGGACCAGTGATCCCTATGTATATTGTTCAAATAAGACTGCTTTTTCTGACCTTGTAAGAGGTATGGTA